CCCAAGCCCCAAGGGTGTGGTGAGGGAAGCTGCTGGGGAGTCGGGCCTCGCGAGCCGTCCTCGTCGGCCGCACTCCGGGTCTCCGGCCACCGCAGACCTGGGTGGGACCCAGCCTTTCGCTTCAGCGGCTGCGAAGCTTTGGGGGGGGGGCATCCTTGGCGCCCCCTTCCCAGTGCAGCCCGGTGTGGGGGGAGGAGATCCCTACTTGGAAACGTGGAGGAGATTGGAAAGCGATCAGAGCGGGGAGGCAGGCTCATCCGGGCTTGAACAGTTCTGCAGCTGTTCCTTTACGTGCTTGCAACCCCGGCCGTTCTCCCCGGTGCGTCGGACCTCCGAGTTGGATCCAGCGCCTGCCGCCCAGGATTTGTCCGGGACCCATTTTGTCCTCCTCGGCCCGAGCTTGGGCCTGCATTTCCAGCGAGCCAGGCCCGGCTGAAGCTCGGAGAAACTCCCCTCGGCCTGGCTGCTCGTCAAAAATGCCCGTCTGGGCCGGAGAGCCGAGAAAGCCTGGAGATCGCGCAGCCCCTGCGGCCTGCAGAGCGCTGGCCTGCCGCGCCCAGCAGCGCGCCTCCCTCCCCACTGCTGCGCGGCCGCTCTCCTGCCTTTTCTGTTCGGCTACTTTTAATTTTTACCCTTGCTGAAGGTGGGGGGAAAGGGGAGGACTCTTACTGTTAAGGGACTTTTCATTTTAAGGCCTGTAACTGATAAAGGATGAATGCGAATTCTCCTTGGAGCTGGGTCTCTTGATCTGCGTATCTTTCCCCCTCTAGGTTCTTGGTTTTGCAAGAGGCGGGTTACTGTAGACGTTTTGCCTGCTGCAGGAGAATATGCCTCCTGTGACTTTTAGTACACAGAGCCGTGATGTCCTTCTGTAAGTCTGACGGAGAAAAACAGTTCTCCAAAGGACACTAGGTTTTTGTTTTGTTTTTGGTTCGTGCCCAATGGCTTCCAAAAATACCCAGGCCTTATCTTTATTGGCCCTTCCAGAAGTCCAGACAAATTTGACGGGCAGCTGGCTTATCGTGGGGGAGCCTGCGCAGGGGAGATGCGAGCCTCGCCGCCTCCTCTCAGCCTGACCCGGGTCTTTTGCAAGAGGTTGTGCGTGGTCATAGAGTAATAACAACGATAATAATAACGGGACCTTCCACAGCCTCCTTCAGCTGAGAACGGAGGTGCTGGAAGCTGGACACTGGGGCCCAGCTGCGCCCTACTGTCACTAGAATTGTACTTCCAACCTCTCTCTCTCTCTCTCTCTCTCTCTCTCTCTCTCTCTGTTTCCTGGCCTCAGAGCAGGACCCTGCTCGGGCACAGGGCGCCAGGCACACCATGGCCGACGCAGACGAGGGCTTTGGCCTGGCACACACTCCCCTGGAACCTGATTCGAAAGATCTACCCTGTGACTCCAAGCCCGAGAGCACGCTAGGGGCCCCCAACAAGTCTCCGTCATCCCCGCAGGCCGCCTTCACCCAGCAGGTAAGAAGACAGCTAGCCTAGAAGCCCTTTGCAAAAACCGAAGGCCCTCCTGTGGGGGAGGGGAGGAGGGTGGCTTGCCCGTTGCTCATAATTGTCCCCTTTTCCTTTTTATCTCCAATCATTCCACTTTCCTATGCCCTGCATCCCCCCCCCCCATTCCAGTATATTCCAATCCACTTTATTGTGACGATAATCTTTATGGCCAGAGGATTTTGGAAATACATTGAAGTTGTTATAGAGAAGCCTTCATTATCCGGCTATTTGGGGCCAGCTAACAATAGCCCAGATCATTCCTTTGCTGCTGCACTAGGTATAGGCTCAGCCCTGAGCACCTCATTAAGGGCTGGGTCAGCGGCTGCTTCAGGCCGGCGTGAGCGATGGCTTGACCCTTCTTCAGATCTTCCTTAGCCTTCGCCTCCGCCCGCCTTCCCCGAGCCGCCGCCCAGACCCTCGAGTTGCACTATTTGTCTTGGGCCGGGCTCTGGAGGGCTGGCTCGCTCTGGCCGGTGGAGGGGAGCGCCGGGCCGTGCCAAGAGGTTGCAGGGAGCCGCAGTCTCCCCTGGATGGAAGCTGGGCCCCAGTTAGAGGGGGAGAGGCCTCCTAGGCCGTGTGCTCTGTGCCCTGTTCCCCCCAGCGCTCTGGGTGCTCCAGGCGGCCCCTGGAGCCCTCCCATAATTTTAAATAAGGTGTCAGTTGGTGCAAAACGGGGTGACTTGGTCCGAAGAGATATTTGCACATAGCTAAAGCCCTTCTTTGGGATTTCCATGGATGTCCTTCCTGGCTACCTCATTGACTCTCCTTTTTCCCCTTCCCGGCTCAGGAAAATGCGTGAATAGTTGTAGAGCACAGTGGGTACACGGTTTGGGGGACTTCGATTTTCTTTCCGGAAAAGCAAATCTGCTTATTGAGACAGTTGCGGATTATTGCAAAACGAAGGTTTCGTCTAGAAATTTTTCTGCGTCGCTTCAGTAAAATAACTTTGAGCTGCATAGCGGAAACGTTAACCGGTTTCGGCTGCTCCCGTAATCAAAAAACAGCTGGAAGCGAATGAAGTTGGGTGTGAGAACCTAGGAGGTTTGTTAATAGAGGCATCAGAGGATTAACTTTTTGGACCGTGGGAACCTCTTATACGATCTACACAGTTTTAAGTTTACATTTTCTCTTACGGCCATATTTGCACCACCGCGAGACTCAACACGCATATATGCACTATTTGCACCCCGTGGGAGTGGCTACGTGAGAATGTTCTGAGTGGGCCTTTTGAGGTGGAGTGTTTTTGTTTTTTGCTTTTGTCTTTTAGTTGCATCTTGGCTAAAAGGGTTTGCGATTGGCCCCAGTTTTTTTGTTATTTTTTGTTTTTTTTTCTGTTTTGGTTTTTTAAAGTCTGTTCTCATGGACGCACTAGAGGACCCTGATGGTTGGGGACTTTTCTCTAGCCTTGTGTTGGTGGCGTTAGGAGACAACAGGGCATCGTGGGGAGGTACACGGAGCTTGTACAGGGATTCCTGGGCAGGGCTGCTGGTGCTCCAGGGCTGGCTGGGGGCAGTTCTCAGCCTCAGAGCCCAGAGGCTCCGGAGGGGAGGAGAAGTCTGTGTTTGGGGGGCAGCTGGGGGGAAGGGAAGGCCCACTGCTCCTGGGGCCGGTCCGTGTGACTTTTCTCTCCTCTCTCTAGGGCATGGAAGGGATCAAGGTGTTTCTCCACGAAAGAGAACTGTGGCTGAAATTTCACGAAGTCGGCACAGAAATGATCATAACCAAGGCCGGACGGTGAGCTGGCCACCTCTGCTGGGGTGGGTGGGGTGGGGGGGGGCGCCTGGGCAACTTGTGGGGGAGACAAAAGAGGGAAGGTCTCGGAGATGCGAGAGACAGAGACGGGGGCAGAGAAAAGAGAGCCTAGAGCAGAGCAGAGCAGAGAGAGAGAGAACGAATGTGTTTTGTTTGACCCGATTTTGGATAAAGACGCTTGGAGAATTCCTCCATTGACCTGCATCGCTGGTGGAGGAAACGCCTGTTGGATTCACCTCCGAAACAGGGCATTTCTCCCACCTCGTATAGGAGAAGAATCCAGAGCTTTGGGGGCCATAATAAGTGGACGGGTTGGTCGTGGGAGAAAGTGGGACAGGCAGGGAGAGAGAACGGGGAACCGGGAGGTGCGGAGTCGGCACGGAGATGAGACCCGCTCTCAGCCTTGACTCCTGGCCCCCACCCTCCGTCCCACTCTCCCTGACCTTGTAGCGGCTCCAGAGTCCCACCCGATTGCCAAACTCCGAACCGCTGAATGTATTCGCTACCTCTTTCATTGTTTATAGAAAGCGGGAGAAGCCTTTGAAACTGAACCGGGGCTCGGCCGGGCTCTATATATACAGACACCGATAAACACGGCAGTTTGGCCAAGACACTCACCCCAGAGTTCCTCTTAAAAGCTCGCAGGGGTTTTTTTTTTTTTTTTTTTTTTT